AAACAGGAAGTCCTAAGATAGCATGGCATAGTACTGTGCAATGGGGACACGACACAAGTTTCTACCTCCAAATATGGTGATTTCAAAATCATGCCTAAAATACTTCAGAAATCTCCAACTGTCATAAAACTTAAGAATGTTTAAATATGTTATATTTTTAAAAATACTCCATATGAATTACTCCATTTGCTTAAAAAATAAAAGTAGCCCCTTGTTGAAAATCAATCTGATTTTTTCATGGGGATGATCACAAGGGAAAGTCTGTATTAGTGTAAATCTTAAAGGTTCAAAAATGGAAGAAAAAGTGACATAATAGTTTAAAGATATCAGAACTTCACAGTCAGAACCATCTCTTTTGGAAGCTCTTCAAGCATTAAAGGTGGTTTTTAGAGAAACTGAAACGTTGCCAGGCTGTCAATTTTCTTCCTCAAATAACCAAAATAAATTCACTAGGGCTAATTTGCAGGAAACAATGTTTTATCCTTTTTTTTTTTTTTTTTTTGAAGGGATCTAGCTATGTTGTCCAGGCTGATCCCCCAGACCTCTGGGCTTGTGAACCCTCTTTCACAGCCTCTGCTACAGCTGGGACCCCAGGAACACACAACTTCACCCAGCTTGTTTTTCTTTAAGAAGAAAAAAAAATAATTTTTTTTTTGTTTTTAATTTTCTTGTTTTAGATTTTAGAGACAGATTCTCCTTATGTTACCCAAGTTGTTCAGCCATATCTCCAACTCACCATCCTCCTGCCTCTAAAAAACAAGCTTTACTACATTGTATAGTTAAGCGATATAGCGGGATTGTATAAGATACATGTGTATTACATAAGATACAAGGGTATTAACGTGGTTATTTAAACTAACCAAATGAACACACTCATCATGCCAGTCACCCTCATCTACTCAGGCATGGCTACAATGTACTCACTTAGCCGAAAACTTACTATTCCTAACTGCCACTCTAATGTGCACTAGCTCAGTCTACTAGATCATCATGCAGGTTGGATACTTTGTATCAGTTTGCCTATATCTTCAATTTTCTTTTTGTGGTCCTCAATTGTATTCTTTCATCAAACCAACCACCAACAGACAATCAACAACCGCCACCAATGTCTACTTTTAAATGCAAATTAAAACACTACCAGAATGCACACGCCTCTTTCACAAAAATTAGTGTATCCACCTTTTCCAATTCTATTTGCTCCTGTAAACACTCCACAGGCTGCCATACAGTAAACCCACCAGTCTATAAAGAGTGGATTTTAGATAGTCTGTTTACCAATCAGGGAAGCAGATGTGTTTCTTGTATTAAATTTTAAAGGGTATTAATTAGGAACATTATTAGAACACAGGAGGCAAGACAGGACCAAGACAGGATCCTCACAGAGGTCAGCAGGATCCCAGGTTACTTCGGCTTTTAAGCACGGATGGGTTCACTTGAATTAGCACACCTGCTGCAAAGCAGCTCCTGGCAGGCACCTGGATGATGTGCCAGAAACTGTATATAAAGCTGCCACACTTTCCTTTAGCAAAAAACTGGGATTCCCACAGTCTCAAAACCACAATACCATACCCTCTTCCTTTCTGAATTTTACCTGAAAAATTAACTTGCCCTTGATAAGAAACACCAGGCTCCAGAGGACCACATCCCCCAAACCATTAGCCATACTTGAATCCGGTCCAGGAAATAACCCAACAACAGCAGGTACCCTACCTGTTTCACAACAAAGTTCAAGTGCCTCAGAGGACCCCAGATTCTCCCTACTCGATGCCAGCAGGCTTAGTAGACAAAGACTCATGCAGCCCTGACACACTGTTGACATAGGGATGGAAAGAACTGTCACAATGACACCCCAGGAAATGACTGAGCACCCTATTCATCTTATGATACTCACTAAACAAGTGCTGGGTATCAGAGCTCACTGAAGCAGAGTTCAGTGTCAACATGGAGCAGGAAGAGGCTTCTTGGAGCCCTGCTCCTGCACAACACCTCCGTTTGAGAAAGGAAGCACTTAGAAAGAAAAAAATAAATATGAAGAAAGGGTTCTTAGGTGTCCCAAGAGAGTCAGACTCCCAGGGCAGAAAGGCATTTTAAGCATTGAACACCAATCTTATGGCTATGAGGCAGTCAATGAGGGAGGCATTGACTACAGGTGACTCTTGAACATTTGCAGTGGGATCAATCCTAAAGGAGATGTGCTGTGGGTGGGAGCCACATCAGAACTAACTGCAGATTTAGCAGGGAGGATTAAAGCCATTAAGGCTATTTCCACCTGGTAGGTGGGACTGCTAGGAAAGTTTTAGAATTGTCTTCCATTTCTTTGGGATGGTGCTATTCTAGTCTTGGTTCTGACACAAACCAGAACTGTCATCTGGTATTTTCTAGTTTCACTTCTTATTCAAAAATCTAACAATAGTTTCCTTTCTCAAGCAATATGATTATGATAACTTAGTAAGAAAATAATATAAAGACAGCCATAAAGTAACCAACAAGCACTATTAGGAAGAAAAATTACTTCAAGGGGGCAAAAATGGGACAGATTACAAAAAACACAACTGTGATCACAAATACCTTAACTAAGTTTTTCTAAAAAGGTAATTCTAAATGCTGATTATAAGATTCATTTTAAGCTGGGTGATGGTGGTGAGCACCTTTACTCTCAGCACTCATAGGCAGATCTGAGTTTGAGGCCAGCCTGATCTAAAAAGTGAGTTCCAGGAAAGCCAGGACCACACAGAGAAACCCTGTCTTGCAAAACAAAACAAAACAAAAAAAACAAAAATCATTTTTTTAAACAAAAATAATTTTAAAAGTGAAATGACTGTTTCATTTCTAGTATCTGGAGCCCTAGGGGTGGGGGTGGTTTCTGTATTACTCAAGTACTTGCAGACACAAATAAGTAAGCCATTAACACTATGAAAATGGAAACAACTGAGCACATGACACATGCCTGCAATCCCAGTTACGGCAGGAGGATGATGGAGTTTAAATTACAGAGACTAGTTTAAATTACAGTCAGTCTTTCAAAAGACCAAGGGTGAGGAATTAATCAGTGAAGCATTTGCAAGCATGAACAGCAGAGTTCTGATGCCCAAAGATGCAAATCTACTACCCCAGTGTTTAGGGGACTGGAGCGCTCTGGCCGGCCAGCCAGCTTACAGAATCTGTTAGAGACAGGTTCAGGGACAGAACATGTCTCAGAAAAGTAAAGTGGACAATGACCGAGGAAGTCATCTGACACCACACCACACAGGGCACACACACATGCACACACAAACATGTACATATGTTTACCCTATACACAAACCAAAATAAGGTATTGAGGCATAGCTTGGAGGCAGATCATTTGCCTAGCTTGTGCAAGGCCCAGGGTTTGGCCCCTAATGAAGGAGGGGAGAGGGGGAGAAAAGGCTAAATGAATGTAACTTCTCTTCAGCTAACTGCTAAAACACAAAATAAACACTGCCCTAAGTTCTCTAGGACTGATTATTCTGTTGTCCACAGGCATCATGAAATTTTAAAAAATGTGCTTTTCCCACAGTGTTAAGCATATTTACCTTTTGTGATGCCAGGTATGGATTTCAGGGCCTAATATATGCTAAGAAGCAAATGGTCTACCACTGAGCTACACTATATATACACTTGCCTTAAGAGGCTTATTTTAAACGTGAAAAACTCAAGGATATATACTTGGTAAGTGAACTTTGTCATTGCTCTCATATATAAAATCATTTTTCTATATTCATTTGTTAAAATACTGCTCTGGGAGGGGTAACTCTAGACTACTTCTAGTTTATCAAAATGCTCATTTGTGGGGGGGGGCGGGGGCGGCGTGGGGGGGTGTTGGGGGGGGTGTGTGATCATCTTTCTTTTTCTCCTTTGCCAAGACATGGTTTGAGTATATCCTAAATCAGCCTTGAACTCATAACGCATCACAGGCAGTCCTCAAATTCGTGGAGCTTCAGTCTTGAATGCTAGGATTAGAGGTTTTCACCACCATGCCTGGCTACAAAATTTTCATTGAGGAAAGAATATTAAAGAAACAACTTAACAGTTAATACCTCCTACCTACACTGTACTAACTTATTTTAAAAAGGCCATCTTCAGGTGTCAATGTCCTTGAGTTTCATCAGCTAAGGATAATGTTCAGGCTACTTGGCAGGTGACACATTCCTCAGGAACTCTTTCCTTGTGCATTTAAATGCCAAGCTCAATTATGCTGTCAGCGGAGTAAGCAGAAAGGATTGTACATATTTTAAACTAGGGAGTTGACTGGCTGTCCCTTCTTCCTGCCTTGATGGAAAGGATAATGGGCAAAGCTTTGAGTCTGATCCCCCAAATACTGAAATCACTCTCAAAGAATCGGATCTTCTAACGTTGCCCCAAAGGCTGCCAAAATTCCCATTAGAGCATCCTATTTTTAGTATTTGCAATCGGCCTTTTAAATTGCATTCTACAGTACAATGTGCTTAACTAAGTTTACCCAGAAGAATAAAGACACTTCCTAAGGCTTTAATCCCTTTAAACATAGCAAAGAATTTTAAGCTTTCAAATCTTTTTTTTTTTTTTTTTTTTTTTTTTTTTGAGCTCTAAATTTAAGTCTCGCAAACATGCACATTAAAAAGAAAAGATAAAATGTTGGCCCAGAGGGAGGACAAGGAGCGATACAACTAGGCGGCTCCTGACAACCAAAGAGGTGACGGTGGAGGGAAAATAAGGTTTGGGGGCAAATAATAACCACGCGCAGGAAAGCGAGCACAGGAGACGGGCCACGGAGCAGAGACACCGACGCGGAGTAGAAGACGCAGGATCCCCGGGGAGGCGAAGGCGCGCGGAGAAATTGGCGCGATGCGCGACAACAGCATACCCGAGAGGGGACGGATGAGAAGCGACCCGCTGCAACTCCCGGGGAGGACAGCGCCCGGGGAGGAGCAAGCGAGTGTCCCCAGCTCCCCGGCCGCGGCGAGCCGGCAGATCCCCTGCAGCCCGGCTGCTCTTCTCACCTGGGCATCCGAGGCCACGCAAGGGCTACCGGCGTGCGCCGGGTCTGTTTCCAGCCCCGCTTGCTGACATGGCGGCCGACGAGCTGTCACACAGCTGGCTCCGGTCTCCCGCGGCTCCGGAGGATCGGACACCACCAGCCTTCCCGCCCCGCCTCCCTCCGCGCGCCCCTCCCGGCTGGCCGCCGGACCGAGGAGCATAGAGTGCGAGAGGCTAGAGAGGAAGCGCCCAGGGCGGGCGACCATAGAGTTCCAACCCGGACACACCCGGATAGTCCACTCCTAGGCGTCTGGGGGCGGAGCCTGGGCGGAAGCGGAAGCGAGTGAAGAAAAGGTTGGGGCTCGGGAGTTCGCATGCGCCGTTTGTAGTGTTTTCTTCCGCCCGGCCCACTGAGGCGGAGTACTGTTGCACGTGGAATGTGGTGCTCCTTGCTTTGGGCAGAAGCCAACCTAACTGGTGGTTGTGGTGGACGTTAGAGCAGGATGTGGGGCCCGGCGATGGGGCTGCCTTCGCGGTTGGCGCTGTCGATGTTTGCTGGTCCCGGTCGCTCTTGCATTCTGGGGTCTGGAGCTGCGACGCGGAAGGACTGGCAAGCGAAGCACTGTCGTGGCTTCTCTGACTTCTACATGCAGCCGTTATTTGATCCTGACCTAGAAGAGTCACCCTTTTTTGCACCCAAGATTCGATCCGAGCCTATGCGTTACGTAGCATGTAGGAAAATGGCCAAGAACCTGGTACGAAACCTGCTCGGGTACCACAACCCGTCCCGTCAACTTTTTCTAGAGTGCAATCCAGGTGAGATGGACAGAAGGTTTGCTCTTAATCTTTATGTCTTTCGAGACAGGGTTTGTCTGTAATGCTTTGTGCTGGAACCAGCACTGTAGACCAGGTTGGTCTCGGACTCAAAGAGATCTGCCTGCCTCTGCCTCCCGAGTGCCGGGATTAAAGGCATGAACCACCAACGCCCGGCTCTAAACATTCAGATAGTCTATGAGTGAGAAGTAAGCTGCAATCTTAAATAGTGGTTTTTCTTCTAGAAATTGTGAGATTTGTTGAGGACGGTAAGTCTTGCTGTCACTGACATCCTGGAATGCTCTGTTATTTACCTGTTGTTATGTTGTGGGCTTAAGTTAACTACCTAATCATTTTTTTACAAATGTAAAGAGTCATATCTAGGAATGTTGTGAGATTTTAAACTTGTGTAACTTGTGTAAAAGTCTTTGAAAGAGACTATGCCCAGGTTGTGGTGGCATACTTCTTTAATGCCTGAGAGGCAAGCTGATATTGGAGTTAAAGGCCAGCCCGGTCTGCATAGCTAGTTGTAGGATAGGACAGTCAGGATAATATAGAGTGACCCTGTCTCAACACACACACACACACACACACACACACACACACACACACACACACACACACACGGAAAAATATATATTAAACTGGGCTTGGTGACACAGTTTTAATCCCAGCACTTGGGAGTCAGAACCGGGCCAATCTCTGAGTTTGAGGCCAGCTCTGTCTATATAGTGTGGAGGGGGGAAGAGAGAGGAAGGAAGGGAGGAAGAGAAAGAGAGACAGAGACTGACCATGTTGTTTATTTTGCAAATAAAGTTTGTTTGTTTGTTTGTTTCCTGTTAATACACCAGGACCTGGAATCCTGACTGAGGCATTACTTAAAGCTGGTGCCAGAGTGGTTGTCTTTGAAAGTGAAAAGTCTTTTATTCCACATTTAAAGGTATTATTTTTATGTTCCTAAAGTAATTTGTTGTTCCAGTCACTGACTTTGGGTGGGTTAGAGAAGTGAAATTAAGTACATAATTTCTTCTTAAAGACTTTTAGGAACCATGTCTAAGACTGGGACCCATTGAGTCTCTAGTGCTTGTTGAATAACTAAAAGCTTGGGAGTTCTGGGATCTGTTTTCTGCTTCCTATGGGGGCCCAGAAATGATATTTTAAAGTATGACTCATTGACATATTGGGGGTTTTTAAATAACAGCCAATTGGAAACTTACAGCTATAGCCTCAGAAATAAGGTATCTCTGCCTCCCTATCTCTTTACCTTAGTCCTTCAAATGGAGCCTTAGAGACCAGAACTCCTATTCCCACAGGGCAGTCATAGAAACTAGGACCATCTCACAGCAAAGCAAGACATAGCTTGTGATTATTGTTAGCTTTCTGTGTGAGCTGCCTGTACAGATAGTCTCTGACCCACCTCATTTTATAGTAGATCTTAAATCCTTTTTTCCCCCAAGCCCTTACCCTCTGTCCAGAAGGAAGAGATGCACAACCACAAAAGAGGCTAAGAAGCTGAACACAGGCCTGGGGTCTGTTCCCACCTTTGGTTGGTTATAGTAGATCACACTCTTTATGCAAGTTCATCCCCACATAGCAGCCATTGTTCATTGATTGTAAGCATAAAATTGGTACTTTCCTCTAAATCTAGATAGAACCACTTGTTACATAAAGCTGCAGCTAGTAAATATGTTACACTTTTCAATTGGTAACCTACCTTCTGTTAAATGAGTATAGTTTGTTCCCCTAAGACCAGGAGGGAACATATCACATATTCCCCTTCCTTTATAGTATAGCTGAGTGATCTGTAATTGTTCACTAAGCTTGTGTGTTCATCTTGGTCGGCTGTGCTTTGTCCCTGCCTTTTGTGAGCTTAAAATTCAAGGATGTGTTAAGGTTTATTAGTGGGTCTGCGTAAACTCTTGAGTTAGTTAAGACTTAAAATGTAGCAAAAACGGGGTTTGATATGGTCAAATGCAGTTGCAGAGTGCTGGGTTTTGGTGTTTATTTTTATTTTTTTTTTGTTTTTTTTTTTTGTTTGTTTGTTTGTTTGTTTTTCCCCAAATGGTTGTTTTAGTGCTTCTAAGTCTTTTACAGATGACCCATTGAGAAGAAATTAATTTAGAAAACACCTATTTATGCCAATTTCTTGGTACAGTTATGCTCAGTGGTAGGACAATTAGTTGGTCTAGCATAAAGAAGGTCTACTGTACAAACCCCAATGGTGACCGTGAGCCTGGCAGATAAGTGCCACATGCCTTTAATCCCACAAGTCCAGCACAGTGGAAGAGCCATTAGGTTCCATGGCTAAGTTAGTCTACATTGGAAATTTCGGACCAGACAGGACTACATAGACTTTTCCCCCCAAAAGTAGAGAGAGCGACCCATGGTAGATCAGGTTGGCCTCATCCTGCTTCTGTCTCCTAAGTGCATATAATCCTAGTATGTAGGAGGCAGAGGCAGAAGAATCACCCAAATAGGTCAACCTCATCTACATAGTAAGTTCCAGGCCAGCCAGTGCTACCTAGTGAGACCCTGTTTTAACATTCCCCACACTGTCCAAAGGAGACAACTTTATAAACATGGAAAGCAGTTAACAAAAAGAAAGGAAAATTAGTTGGTGATTTTTGTTTTTTATTTCAGCTTTTTGAGACAAGGTTTCCCCATGTGTCCTGGCTGTCCTGGAACTCCCTCTGTAGATCAGGCTGGCCTCACCTACCTGCCTCTGCCTTTTGAGTGCTGGGACTAAAGGTGTGCGCCACCCCGCCTGGCTTGGTTTTATTTTTTAATGTGGTGCTGGTGGTTGAATCCATGGCCTTGTACATGCTTTCTTAGTACTGTACTACTGAGCCCCACAGGCCCCTGAGGAAGGAAGGTTCCTTTTGTTTCAGACCTCTTAGAAAACTGTTTCACTTTGATCATGTTTTTCCTGCGACAGTTGATTTTTAGTTCCTCTGTTAAATTTGAGATATATTAATGTTTGTACCTTCACATAAAATCTTTGAATTTATTTTATTTGAGGTACTGTAGTGCCTTCCTGGGCCTTGTGAATGTTTGGCAGATATTCTGTCACTAAACTTTATACATTCCCAGCCCTTGCATTTTTATCAGAGATAGGCTGATCTTAAACTTACTGTGTAACCCATGCCCTTCTCGAATTTGTAATTCTCCTGTGTCAGTATCCTGAGTGATGAAATTGTAGATGTCCTGCAGTGTGCTCAAGCTATTTAAGATTTTTACTTATTGTTGAGATAAGAGCTTTGGATTGTAGCATGGTGTACATGATGAGATCTCTGATGTTACTCCTTGTCTCTTCAGTCCTTAAGGATGAATTTGGATGGATTGCTACAAGTGGTTCACAGTGACTTCTTTAAAATTGATCCTAGACATCAGGAAGTGTTAAAACCAGAATATAATTCACGTGTCATTTTTCAGAATTTGGGAATAAATCCAGTTCCTTGGTCAGCAGGTAATTCTTTATAAACAGCATTTTCTTTACCGATATAGCTCATTTGTTTACTAGATGTATATGTAATATATAGTGAAATTTAGATTTTTCATTTAATAAGCAACTGCTCTTACACTAAGCATGTCATTCCTTCTTTCTGCATATAAATAACCATTTTATTTCTGTACAGGAAAAGTTGTGTATTAGGAGGGCTTAGTTATTGATTTTAAGTGTATATATTCTTGTACATGGTACTGCATTACATAAGATTTTTCATATAAATACATGTTTAAATATGTATTGCTTATATAAATTCCCTTTCATATCACCTTGTCTTAGGGTTTCTATTACTGTGAAGAGACACCATGACCATGGCAATTTTTATCAAAGAAAACATTTAATTGAGGTGGTGGCTTACAGTGTCAAAGATTTAGTCCATTATCATGTCAGGGGGTATGGTGACTGGAAGAATGGTGGTGTACAGACAGACATGGTGCTGAAGAATTCAACGTGCAGATGCAAAGGCAACAGGAAGTGAACTGTCTCACTGGGTGTGACTTGAGCATATGAGACCTCCAAGCCCACCTCCATAGTGGCACACTTCCTCCAATAAGACCACACCTACTCCAGAAAGATCATACTTCTTAATAGTGCCACTCCCAAACCATCTTTTTATTTAAGATTCTTTATATATTTATTTAATTTAGTTTATATTAAAATTACATACCAATCCATTTCCCTCTCCCTCCTGCCCTCCCACTCACTCTTCCCACCATCCCCCTGCCACCTCCCATCCACCCCTCAGAGAGGCGAGGTCTCCCGTGGGAAATCATCAAAGTCTGTCACATCATTTGGGACAGAACTGAGGCCTTCCCTGTTTCTAGACTAAGCAAGGCATCCTTCCATAGGCATTGTGTTCCAAAAAGCCAGTTCATGCACTAGGGATATATAGTGGTCCCACCGCCAGTAGCCCAACAAACTGCCCAAGCCACCCAACAGCCACCTGCATTCAGAGGGTCTAGTTTGGTCTTGGGCAGGTTCCCCAGCTATCGATCCAGAGGCAGTGAGCTCCCACTCGCTCTTTTTGTTTGTTTTGTTTTTGAGACAGGGTTTTTTTCTCTATATGTAGCTGTGGCTATCCTTGCTGCAACTTGTTTTGTAGATCAAGCTGGCCTCGAACTTATAGATCAGCCTGTTTTTGCTTCCCAGATTAAAGGCATGTACCACTTCACCCCGCTGAGCATTTTGACTATCATGAGGTGGAAAGGTTCTGGTCTTGTCTGTTTGGTACTCTAAATGCATTATTGCTTGAATGGGCATGTCTTTCCCTAGATTCAGGACTTTTTGCTATGATTTTAATTAAAGCATTTTCTGTGCCTTTAGCATGACTCATTCTTTTATGCACATGATTTGTAGATTTTGTCTTTTTTATAGTATTCCATAGATCTCAAATGTTCTGTGCTACCTTCCAGTTAATTTATTCTTATCATTTTTGGAATGTTCCAATTTCTCTACTTTGTCCTAAGCCCAGATATTGCATCTTTACTTTGATCTGTTCTACCAGTAAGGCTTTCTGCAGAGATTTTTATTTGACTTCCTGAGTTTAATTTTCAAGTATTTCTATCTACTTTTTGAATTGAAATTTATATTTGTAATTAATCTTATCTCATTAAGCCCTTTGTAGTCTCATGGAATTTGTCCAGGATTCTATCGGTATCCTCTTTTGATCTTTTTGGATATACTTACAATCCCTAATATACCCCTAAAAGTAGAACAGTGTCTGTAGAAACAATCTCTATCACTATTAACATATAATAACAGTCAAATACACAATTCCCCTTAAGTGCCAATCATTTTAGTAAGTACAGGAACACTGAGGATATGTTGTGTATCAAGATATTAGTCACTGTGAGTATGCATGAAAAGGAAAAAGGTAGATAATGATTCGTATTGAGCTGGTTGAGATAAGGGGAAAAAAATGAAACGGGTAACAATAGGAACTGCAGGATATCAGTGAACCAGTTTTAGCTAAGGTAAAGAAATACAGAACCTTTTTACAAATGGTGTAGTGTGGTTACTCCCATGATTGCCAAGAGGAAAGGGTATTTTTTCCTACTATCTCTTCCTTCTGTCATTGCTGTAGACAACTGTCTTAGGTGACTACTGCTGTGATAAAACACCATGACCAAAACACCTTGTGAGGGAAAGGGTTTATTTTGCTTATATTTACACACCACTGTTTGTCATGGAATGAAATTAGGACAGGAACCTGATGTCAGGAGCTGATGCAGAGGCCCAGAAGTTCTTACTGGCTTGCTCCTCATGGCTTGCTAGGCCTGCTTTCTTATAGAACCCAGGACCATCAGCCCCAGGGATGGCAGCACCCACAATGGGCTGGACTTTCCCATCAATCACTAATTAAGAAAATGCTCTATAGACTTGCCTACAGTCTGATCGTATGGAGGCGTTTTCTCAATTGTGGCTTTCTCTTTTCTGATGACTCTAGCTTGTGTCAGGTTGACTTAAAACACTAGCCAGCATAGCAACTTTTGTGTTTTTCTTTATTTCCATCTTTATGTATGTGTACATATTCATATGTGCACATATAAGTACATGTGTATGCATGTGGAAGCCAGAGTTTGATGTTGAGTGTCCTTCTCAATGACCCATATCTGTCACTGAACCTGGAACCTATTTAGGTAGACTGAACAGCAAACCCTGGGGATCGGGATCAGGTTCTGATGCCTGCACAGTAAACTCTTCTCTGACCCATCCTCTCCCTAGCTCTGTAGTTTCTCATTTTACCTTCATTACTAGACTAGACATTTTGGGGGCATTTAGCCACTTCTTCTAATTATGTTACCCAGCTGTCATCAGTTATTTCCCTGGTGATTCTAGCACATCATACCTGTAACTGAAATAGAGTCACCATTGTTAACTTACTTTGCATCAGTAAAATGTGATCATAGGAAAAAGTTTTAAGAAACTTGTGTTTGTATCCCTAACAGGTATTCCTATAAAAGTATTTGGAATCCTACCAAGTAAATTAGAAAGACGAATACTTTGGAAAACTCTGTTTGATCTGTATTCCTGCGAGTCTATATACAGATATGGACGAGTAGAACTGAATCTGTTTGTTACTGAAAAAGAATTCCAGGTGGGTTGTCAACAGCTAACTGGTATTGCTACTGTGAGAGTGCTATAGAGAATGCTGTAATTGTTCTCTCTCTGTCTCTCTCTCTCTCTCTCTCTCTCTATATATATATATATATATATATATATATATATATATATATATATTTATTTTGGTTTTGGATTTTCAAGACAGGGTTTCTCTGTGTAGCTTTGGAGTCTGTCCTGGAACTCATTCTGTAGACCAGGCTGGCCTTGAACTCAGAGAGATCTGCCTGCCTCTGCCTCCCGAGTGCTGGGATTAAAGGCCTTCACTATCAATGCCCAGCAAGGATGCTGTAGTCCTCTGAGGAACTTCAGCTGAATTTTTAATTTGGAGCCCTTGACATTTGAGAGTTTTAATTATTTGTACAGTTTGGTGACATTAAATATAGTCATAGTATATATCCAGTACTTGCTGTCTAGCTCCTTTTTTATTTTTAATGTATGTGAGTGGTCTGTCTTTCTGGGCATCAGATCCTATTACAGATGGTTCTGAGCCGCAATGTGGTGACTGGGAATCAAACTCAGAACCTCTGGAAAAGCAACCAGTACTCTTAACCACTGAGTCATCTCCCAGCCCACCCAAAATTCTTTAGCTATGCCACTGAACACTTAATTCCCCATGTTCCCAGTTCCTCAGGCTCTAGGAACCATTATCCTGGCACCATCTTGTGAGCTTGGCTTTGAGTCATACTACATTTGTCCTTTTGTGGTTGGCTTATTTCACTTAGCATGGTATCTTCATGTTCCATCTGTGATAAAGTGTGTTGAAACTTCATTTTTTTTTTTCTTTTTGAGCCAAATATTATTCTGCCGTATGCACTCACTAAAATTTATCTATTCATCCATGAAAGAACACTTAGCTGCTTTCACCTCTCAAATATTATAAATAAAGCTGCCACACATATAAGTTCTTGCTTTCAGGTTGTGACAGTGGTGGTATGCAGGTGGATGTGTAATGGCAGAGATCAGCTTCTGCTGTCATTACTCAGGAGCCATCTACTTTTTCTTTATCTCTATTTTATTAATTCATTGATCTACTTATTTGAGAGGGGTCCCTCCCTAGGATATTTAGTTTGCCATTTGTCTAGGCTAGTTGGCCAGTAAGCCCCAGGGATCCTCCTGTCTCTGCCTCTGAGCAATGAGTTACAGGTGTGAGCTTCTGTACCTGGCTTTTCCATGGGTTCTGAGGACCACACTCAGGTCCTCAGGCTTTTGTGGCAAACACTGTATCACCTGAGCTGTCTCCCCAGCCCTTTTTTTGGGGGGGGGGGTTTGATTCATATATGTAGAACTTGGATTGCTCCTTGGTAATTCTACATTTAATTTTTAAGGAAATGTCATACTACTTTCCTTGCTAGATACACTGTTTTACTTTCCCATCTGTAGTGCACACGGTTTTAGATTTTTCCCCCTATCATATTTGTGTGTGTTTGTTTGTTTATTTAATTTTGTGAAGTTCTTTTTGTTTGTTTTAATTTGTTTTTTGTTTGCTTGTTTTTTGACTATTGGTTTTCTGTGTAACAACCCTAGCAGTCCTGGACTTGCTGTGCTTGAACTCACAGAGATCTTCCTGCTTCTGCCTCCCAAGTGCTGGGATTAAAGGCATGCACCACCACATTCAGCTAATTTTGTGTTTCTTACTAGTGTGTGAGTGTGGATACACACATGCCACACCATATGTGTGGGGGTTAGAGGTGTGTGCCAAGGATTGAAACCAAGCTGGCAAGCTTGCCCAGCTACATCAGCTCATTGGACCTTTCCTCTGTATTTTTGACACTGTCTCATAGTTGGTTGAAGTACCGTTTCTTTCATTGTGTTAGTGTTTTCCTAATGGCTAGCTGTGTTGGACATCTTTTTTATTTACTTACCAATCATTGGTATATAGTTCCTGAAGCACATTCTACCAAAATCCCTTATCCTTTTTTATTTTTTTCATCACCCTGACTAACTTTATCTTTGATAGAAGGGTATATCAACACTTCTTTCCACCAAAAATAGAATATGTGTTCCAATAAAAACATCAGAGGATGTTGACCCTGTAAGACAGTGGAGAATGGGAGAAAGCTAAGCTGAAACTCAGTAGCTGCTTGGTCATTTCACAATTATATTCCTAAAGCAGAAACAGGGATACCAAATGATAGAAAAATAGCAAATTGGTTACCACCATGTTCTTTTAGATGACCTTTGTTGTATGAAGATTAATTCAGATGAACTGTCATTATCTTGGCAAGTTTGGCCTGGCTTTTTTGGGAACTCTGGCTGTCCCTAGCTTCTGGGAAAAGTAAAATAAACAACATGGGTTCACCTTGGTGGTGTAGAACTCAAGTCCAAGTGGCTCAAGTTTGACTTTTAGTCTGCTCTTTGGGAGTCTGGTGCAGGGACAGCAGGCTCTGCTTTTCTCCTTTTTAGTGAGAAGGCACCCTGCATCCCTGAACGATGCTGTTAGAACCTGCTAATGGACCACAGTGCTTCCTGGGGGAAACTTTACCCCAGTATAATTAACAGTGCCCATTTGTACATAAAGGGACCCTTGGAAGGAAAAGTGGTACAAGAAATGAGGGAATGTGTCCTCACCCAGATAGTAAATATTGGCTAGCTGTGTAAAGTGATAGTAGATAATACACATATATAATATATAAACAAAAAATGAGAGCAAGGGACATAACAGTGCTCATCAGGTTGTAAGTTGGCCACAGTGGCCAAACCGGTGATCCAATTATTTGGGAGGCACCTAGTGGGTAGAGGAAGAAGGATCAGAATTCAAGGTCATCCTCCAATATGTAGTTGTAGACCAGGTTGGGCTATATGAGGCCCAAAATTTTGTCTTGCTTACAGCTTCTTTAACATGGACTTTTCCATGGGATCCTTCCATTCACTGATGGTACCATCCTTAATGTCCAGCAGGTGCACCCCTTTAATCCCAGCACTTGGGAGTCAAATGCAGGTGAATCTCTGAGTTTGAAGACACCCTGGTCTACAGAGTGAGTTCCAGGACAGCCTGGGCCACACAGGGAAACCCTGTCTCAAAACAACAACAACAACAAAAACATTTATTTTGTGTATGTGTGTACACCCAAATTCACTGACACTCATGCACATCATTGTTAACTGTGTGAAAGTCAAGGAAAAACTTGCAGGAGTTATTTTCTCCTACCATGTTGGTCCCAGGGACTGGACTCAGGTCATCAGGTTTACCCAATAAGCCATCTCGCCATTCTCAGCCATAACATTTCTTGATGCACAATTTAGTAGCTCACCTAATATATAATTCTAACATACCTATCTTTCTCCATAGTACATGCTGTTCTGTTGTATTGTTGTTGAATCCATAGTTTAGAAATTGTTTCTGTCTTAATTGTGTCTGTGGCTAAATGATAACTTTTTCCTATTTGTGTTTGTTAGTTTTTGAAACAGCCTTGCTCTGTAACCTGGGCTGGGAATGGAGCTCACTATGTTGCCCAGGCCAGCCTTGAACTCAAAGGAACCCTGCCTTAATCTCCCTAGTGCTGAGGTTACAAGGTGTTTGCTACCATGTCTGGTCATTACACATGTTTTTGTTTTAGTTTTCCTTAAATAAGATTTCCCTCTGAAATGTCACATTATTAAAAGTAATTTCATATGTAGTATTTTTTTTTTGAGATTTTGTTGAATGTATGTCTGTGTACCATGTGCATGTAGTGCTTGAGAGGGTCAGGTGAGCACATTGGCTCCTCTGGGTCTGGAGTTACAGATAATTGTGACATGTCACATTGGTCCTGAGAATTGAACCTGGGTCCTCTGGCAAGAGCATCCAGGGCTCTTAACTGCTAAGCCCTCCTTCTGGCCGGTGGTTTTGTTTTGTCTATGTTTTTATTTAGATGTATGTATTTATGGCTATGTGTGCATGTACTTGACAGATCCTAGGAGGTGTTGGAGTTATAGGTGTAACAATTCTTGATTCATGATTTAATAGCTTACAGTTGTGAGTTCCAAGTGGCCTTTTGTCTGTAATAGGAACCAAATTCCGTTTCTCAGGAAGAATAGCATCAAGGGCTCTTAGCAACCCAGCCCATACAGTCAGTTTTATGTTGATACCATGGGTTTTCAAAAATGAAAACTCTGCTTAGAAATACTTATGGTTAATGTTTGTACTTAGTTCTTATCTTTTTGGTTTGTTGAGACAGGGACTCGGTATGTAGTCCTGTCTGTCCTGGGACTCTCAGAGATCCACCTGCCTCTGTCTCCTAAGAGCTGAGATTAAAGGCGTGCACCACCACACCTAGCCAGTCCTCATCTTTCATTTAAATTTCTAGATGCTATTAAGATGTTAAAGTTAAGATCCAACATTTGATATTGATTATGTCTATGTAACATAATTTGTCTTTTTTTTGTTTGTTTGTTTTTTTCACTAGAGACTAATGGCGACTCCTAGGAGGCCAGATTTATATCAAGTATTGAGTGTACTTTGGCAAGTGGCTTGTGAAATTAAGTTTATTCAAATGGTGAGTAAAAAGTGTCAGATGCCAGGGGAAATTTATACCACAGAAGCTGGTAAGCACAGACCATGCACTAAAAGTTAATTTAAAAAATTAATTTATTAAAAGATTTAATGTCATTATTTTCCAACTTGTTTAGGTTTTTTGAAATAAAGGGTGTCATTATGTAGCCCTACCTGGTCTGGAACTCCTTACATAAATCAGGCTGGTCTCAGATTCACAGAGATCCTCCTGCCTCTCCATCCTTCTTTCTGAGATTAAAGGCATTTACGATCACCAGTTCTTGAAGGTTGAGTAATGCTGATACTTGTTTGGCATCTTTTTTCTCTAGTCATAAAAATAATATGATTACTAGCTCATAATAAAACTAGGAAATTTGCTGAGTGGTGTTGGCACACGCCTTTAATTCCAGCACTGGGAAGCAGAGGCATGTGGATCTCTGAGTTCAAGGCCAGCATGGTCTACAGACCTAATTCCAGGATAGCAAAGGCTATACAAAGAAACTGTGTCTCAAAAAAATAAAACAAGAAAGTAGGAAACTTGGTTTGTTTGAGGCATGCTCTACAAGAAGGAAATTTTATGAATCAGTACTGTAGTTCTATAGCCCAGAAATCATTAGTGACATACTTTATTCTTCTGTTTTTGTATGCTTTTCTTGTCTTTTCGGTTTTTTTCTTTAATATAGTGAATATTATTTTGCTTTGTTTTATGAGACAGGGTTTCATTATGTGTGTTTTGACTAATGAGAACCAATTAACAGAATTGAGGAGCCTTAGGCCTCATTTGAGATCTCTGTAAACTAGAGAGAATGTCCTGGTGTTGAAGAGAGGACTCAGTTGGTAAAGTGCTTATAGTGCAAGCACAAGGACCTGAGTTCAATTCCCGGCACCCATGTAAAAAGAAGCCCATGGCTCTAACCCCAGGGCTTGGGGAGGCAGAGACAGGAGGATCCTTGGGGCTTACTGGCCAGCTGGTCCTACAGAAACCATAAGATCCAGTTCAGGGAGAAAACCTTACCTTACTCAAAAGTAATATGGATAGAATGAGAAAGCAACCTACGACCTTCACACACATGTCCATGTGCGTATGTACCACAGAGACCTACCAAAAAAAATCTTGTCTGTTTTCTTCCTCCAGGAACCTTGGTCGTCATTTAGTGTACATACTGAAAATGGATGCTCAGAAGACTCAAAGCTTGGGGTAAGAAACAGCGATGCTGTTCCTGTTCATCATGCTTGTTTTCTTTAAGCTTTTCTTCAGAGGCTAGAGAGATGGCAAGAAGAAAAAGAAAGAAAAGAAAGATTATCTTTTCTGTGTTAATTTAAATTTTTCAGTAGTAAAATTATGCATACTTCTGTGTGTACACACAGTCAGTAGATGTATGTTTAGAAAAAGATAAGGAAAAGACTAATCAATAACACTTTTGTATTCTTGGGTCTGCTGGTGGTGTTCCTCAAACACAGCAGGAACTCAGTTCATGTTGGTGTTGTGTCTGGGCTCTGATTTTACTATAGTCACAAGCCTGTCACTTTAGCTGTCTGGGTTAGATAAAGGATTCTGTCTGTGCTCCCAGCCCATGAGGTGGTGAGTGGTTTTCTAGGCAATCATTGGGTTTGCCCCTCCGCCCAGGAATGGAGTAGGACCTTCTTCCCATCACCTGTTTTATGGCGAATGTAAGCAACACTGCTCTTTGTCATATACAGAATAAAAATTTCATCCTTCTAGATTACTGTCTGCTCAGAATTCTGACATGGCACTGGCTACAAAGTGTTAGGCCATCGGTTAAAAAACCCAGAGACATGTGAGGATGTGCAGCAAGTGGTTTGAAGGAGTAAGGATCAGTGCTTCACCCTGGTAATAGTATATGACTGACAAAAATTATTTTCTCTCTAGGAATCATCCAGATCAATGAAACAAAATCTATATTTTATTCAAATGACTCCTCGTAGATCTTTATTTACAGAACACTTAAGTCCATTGAACTATGATATATTTTTCCACATGGTCAAACACTGCTTCGGGAAGCGCAGTTCCCCAATAATACAACATTTACGGTAAGAAGAAATTCAGTGAAGACAAACTATAAAAGTAGTGATTTAATGTGACTATCTCCTGTGTTATAAAGTGGATTTTCACACTATGATTTAGAGTAAGGTATGCCTGTGTTTCATTTACTTGTTAAAAATACTTCCTTCTGGACTGGGGAGATGGTTGAGAAGCAGCTCACAATTGCCTATAATCCCAGTTCCAGGGGCTCTAACAACACCCCCTACTTTGCCCCTATGGGCACCACACACACAGCATGCACACACCTACCCATAAGATAAAATTTAAAAGCGATTAAAAAAAAACAAAAAACAACAAAAAAAAAACCTTTCTCCCAGTTGTGCATTCTGTTTCCATATCCCTCTGACCTTGTTTCATCTTTAAGCAGCAGAATCTAGGATACTCAAAGGCTAGTTTACCTTTTTTCACTTTGTATTTGTTTTTTATGTATGTGCACATGTTATTCCTGTGGAGGCCAGAACAGCATTTGCATCCCCTGGAGCTGGAGTTCTAGAGCTGCTTATGTAGGTGCTGAACTCAGGTTCCCAGGAAGAGCAGTAAAAACTCTTAACCGCAGAGCCATCTCTCCAGTGGATGGGGCGTGTTCTCCATTCGCCTTGTAACTAGCAGTCCCTAAAGTATTGTCAGAAGATATAAAAAGTGTTAAAATAGTTATTTTAATTAATCATCATTTACCATGTAACCTTAATGCTTCTGCTGACTAGAAATATTTATTTTTAATGTATTTGTTTAGTTATTTATTTTGAGATTGGATTTTAGATAGCCCAGGCTAGCTTAACTTTTGGTACAGTTAAAGATGACTGAACTTCTGACCCTCTGGCCTTTACTCCCCAAGTATTGGGATTATAGATGTGTAGATGTGCACCATCACACTATTTACATATAAATGACAAACCCATAATCTCAACTCACAGGACCTTAGGGCAGAAGAATTAGTCACATGAGTTCAAAGCCTATATTGTAAGTTCCAAACCAGACTGAGTTATAGAGTAAAACTAACTTTTAAAAAAAAACTTCATACACTGCATCTGGAGAGATGGCTCAGTGGTTAAAAGCACACACTGTTCTTCCTGAGGACCTGAGGTCAATTCCCAGCACCCATATCAGGTAGCCCACAACTGTCTGTAACCCCAGCTCCAGGGCCATCTCATGCCTTTAACCTCTGTAGGCACCTGCATTCATGTGCACATAACTTAAAAAAAAAACAAAAAAAATTAAACTAAAAAAAAACAAAACAAAAAACCTCATACACATGGTGGTACAAGCCTTTAATCCCCAGTACTTGGGTGGCAGAGGCAGGTGGGTCTCTATGAACTTGAGTCTGGAATAACTGTTCAGTCTCCTGAATGATGAGATTACAGGCTTTAACATTTATTTTACCTAAATATTTCTTATCTAAACCAAGTATGATATAGTACATACCTATAATCCCAGCACTTGGGAGGTAAGGTAGGAGTTCAAAATCATCTCTTACAGAGAGCTAACATACATATATACATATATACATATATACATATATATATATACATACATACATACATATATATATATATATATATATATATATATATATAAACGCTGAAATAAATTTAATTATGTATCCTAGTCATTTTAATTGAACTTAGGGGGTGGCTGTTGGATTTAACTGACAGTTATGTGAAAGGGAATTAAGCATGTTTTCTTGATTTTTCCTTTTCAGCTCACTGAGTACTGTTGAGCCTATTGACATACTGAGGCAGGTGAGAATAAAACCTGGAGAGACAATACTTAAAATGTATCCTCAAGACTTCAAAAGACTTTTTGAAACTATAGAGCGTTCCGAAGATTGTGTCTTTAAATGGGTCTATGATGAGAGCTTGGAGGATATTGTACTCTAGGAAAGCAGTCTATAAGCCATGAACTACATATGTTTATCTATTTATTTGGAAATTATGAGACAAATAAAAACTGAATTTCAAGAAGTTCATGCACTTTCAACAGAAGAGAAACTATCCTTGTTTGGCACAAATGAGGAAAAGAATTTCTTCTGAAGTTGATACCTTTGATGCACTGGAAAAAAACAGTGATTGCAGTTTTATTCAAAATTGAATAAAATGGAAAGTTAAGTTGTCAATTTGATGAATCAAATTTGTTTTGTTTTAAATTACTATCTGCTGTAGATAATGGTAGAACACATACCTAATTGTCCAAGGTTCTGGTTTTGCTCCTCAGCACATGAAACTTAAAAAAGAAATCTATTTACTGTAAAGGTCAATAGGTATAAGGTACTCCTAGTTGTAATTTAGTTTACTTAAAAACAAAACAAAACAAAAAACCAAAAATCCCTTTGGTCAAACATCTTTAAATATTGAAATTTTCTCCATTGCCATTGCTTGCATCTTCCTCCAGTTTCTGTACTATTAAGCTTATAAAATAAACTGATTTCACCAGCCATGGGGTGCAAGTCCTGGAAGATAGAAGACCCATCAGTTCAATACCAGTTTCAACTGTGTAGTGAGTGTATGTGAGCCACTTTAAACTTATTTCAGAAAGTTTATGTTTCAGTATGTTGAAATGGATTATCAGGTACTATACAATGTAATGTTTAAATTTTAGTATGTTTTAACTTTTTTAGAAATAAAAATTTTGCATAGTATTTTATAGTTTTTTGTCTCTAAGTGCATAAGAGAAATGCTAAATGGACTCCAAACTTATTCACCTTAGTTCTTTTGTGTGCAGGGAGTGTGCGTTCAGTGAGTAATTCTGTCTGCAATTGAAATTTGAGGACCTAAGTGCAGTGGTGTGCCTCTGCCACTGCAGCAGTGGCTGAGGTGGGAAGGTTGAGTGAACAAGAGTTGGAGACCAGCCTGGGTGGTGGTGGGGTCAGGGACAGGTAAAGCATGTATCTGATATCTGTAAAGAACACTCAGGAGTCAGATGCTGGGGTAAGAACCTGAATGATCAGAGAAGTGATGGAGAAACCACCAGTGACACCCCAACCCCACCCCCCCACACACTCCCACACCCCCACCCCATCCCACCACCTCCACCGCCACCAATTAAAAGCAAACTGCAAACTTTATTGCTAGTCTTTGGGAACATCATAATGCAATTTGGGAAAAAAACAAAACAAAACAAAAAACCACATTTCACCCTTTTTGTCTAAATAAAAAGGGAAGGTTTTAACTCTGATACAGAAAAACTGTTTATAATCCCAAGAACAATTATCAGGTAAGAATTACATTCACGATGTCTAGTTCATATGCATTTGGCAAATTCGGAGGATTTGCCTATCGTGGTGAGTCCAAAGTTTTGTACTTAATTCATTTTATATCTGAACTTGTATTACCTACCCAAAACTTGTTTTAGACCTCAAAACATTTTCTTAGATAAACAGTTAGAGCTTCTTTTGTGAGTTTCTTTTCTGAATTTGATAACAAGGCAAACTGTAACTATAACCATCTAGTCTTCAAGTCCGTCACAGATTTCCTCTGTAACATTGGGTCATTCATCTTCAGCCTTTTGGCCTAAAATATCCGTGAAGCAGGAATTTAGAAGGACTGGACTAGCTTATCTTGGCAAAGTTTGGCAGTCAACTTCCTTTGAGTCCTGTTTGTCCAGTTTGGACAGCACACTGTCAGCAGTTGAGGCAATGGCAGATTCTCGCCCAGTGGCTAACTTTTGTCACAAACAAAGCAAATTGCATCTGGAAGTTTTTCCATGCCCATCATCTCTGAAGTAGATTGGTGTTGCCAAGAGCAGGCTATCTCTTTGTCATGAAAAGCCTAATGTTATCAACATGCCTTAAATGCTATATTCTGTAGATTTCTGAGATATTTGAAGACCACTTGTCTAAAATATATCTATTTGACCTTGAAAATATAGCCATCATGAATACAAGTTTGATTGGTCATAGGCAACTAGTAACCTACATTTATTTCTTAATTATCCTAAATAGTTTTTAATAATAGCTTTCAAGGACTGGAACTTTACATTGTTAAATGAGTTGCATAGATGCATTACCTCAAACGAGTAGAGACATACAGAGTATGTTGGAATGAAAATAACCTTGAATGTGTATCAGTATACAAAAATACCTTAAACGAATAGAAACATATCAAATTTGTATCAATATGCAAAAATCCATACTAATGTAAGATTTTTTAGGTCTAGTAGTTGCTTTTTAGTTTTAAAATAGATTCAATAATATTCTCTTATCCTGGCATATCTGTATAACCCCCCCCCCCTTTTTTCAGAATGATATCCCTGAATCTAATCTTTGTTCAGCTTTTTTCCTGACCATCACTGAAAACTTGTAACCAATCACCCTAAATGATGACAAATATACATAAACCTACTGAATGACCAAAAACCACCCAATCCACATCTTGGAAATGTAGTCTTCATGTTCTTTATTCTGCTCACTGTTGTGTGAGGGGGTGACAGCATCTTGAGACCATGAGAAAATTGGGATAATGGTCAAGTCCTGGGAGCACTCACTGGCTGTATCATTTGTTGCCAGCCTCTGTGTAAAGGGGAAGTGTAAGGGCTTCTCTGGAGTCCTTGCTAGAGGAGTGTATAAAGCTGGACCATCTCAGCTAGCCATCTTGAAATTGTCCTGAGCAGTTTGCATTACAAAGCTGATTGTTGGGTGGTGTTTGTCAAGTTAGTGGCATTACTATAGTCCAGGAGGAATCCGTTATGGGGGCCCATCATCCTTTTGGAGACTTCAAAAGTCACTGTTAGGCATGGTCACGGTTCACTGCAGAAAACTTAAAACATTTTTAATGACATATGCAGCAGATCTTGGAGATGTTCAAGACCTGCAATTTGTTAGTACTTCTGGGGTATACATATTTAATTCCTAGTTATCTGATTAAGACTCAAGCCTTAAATCATGTACAGGAAGGTAGATAAAGTCTTCTTCCAGAATTAGTACTCCATATGCTTATTAATGCCATGACAGTGGAAGGATAAAAAATGTAAGCCTAGCTTTCCCATGACCATTGGAAGTTAGAAGTTTAAAAGCACCCACCAGCATGTATTTGAAAACCACCCTAGCCACGTGTAAAGCTCAGAGAAAAGGGAAAACATGAAATTGTCCGGTCATGATGACCATGACCAGTTTCTGAGAATTATTATTCATAACCACCCAGTTTCTGAGAAATGTTGTTATCCACAACAACAGGCTAGGAATTGTTATGGGTCATCCTGTCCATAAAGAAAATTAATAACTAAAGAACACAGGACTTGTGGCAAGAAGGGAAAACCAGAAAGAACACGTGCTTCTGCCAATAGATATATATAACTCCCAGACTGGAGAGTACATTCTCCCTGCCCCCCCCCCCATTATCTTTAGGACAAGGCCACTGAGCCCTCTGGTCCTAGAGAAAGAAACCCCCCTAACCTTGCAGGTGCACTAAATAATCCCATCTTGTAAAAACTGTGTACTCTATGAAATCTCTGTAACCTTGGAAACCTTATTAACCATCCAAGTTTTGAACTGTCCCATGACCTTGCTTACCTTGCTTTTAGGCCTAGTGAAAATAGCATTGATGTGGATCCTATAAAAGCTGTCTCAATTCTGCCCTCAGGGTCCTCAGTCTTCTACCCCTGAGTGGCGTATGACTGTGGATCCCAGTGCACTTGGAATAAAAATTCCTCATGCTGTTGCATCAAGACCGCTTCTTATGAGTGATTTAGGGTGTTGCCTTTCCTGAGTGGGAGCGTGAAGGTCCATGCTCTGCAGGTCTTTCAACAGAATACACACACACACAATTTTGAAATAATATCTACACCTTAAGAAAAGTTTAAAGATTCAAAAGCAAAGGATTATGAGATTGGCAGCACTAGAGTAGTCCTTTAATTTTGGATTTTCTTCTGTCCCATATCAGGTGACTCTTCTCACATGAGTTAGAGATTTTAGATTTCCTTTTAACAAGCGTGCTTAGGTTTAGAGGAGAGAGCCATGATCCAACTCCAATCAGCTTTATGTTTTAATAGAATCAGGACAACAAAAAGACCATTTGCCATATATGTCTGTAGAGAACAGTAGAAACAAACATTTGGAAAGATTATGAAATTTAATCAGTTGGAAATGTGCTATATCATTAGGCCAATTTACTCTTTTTCTTGGGACATTTTCTCCGGATGATTCATCCTTTTTCTTCAGATGTCTTATTTGTCCAATGATCTTCAGATTCCTTAGTTGGATGCCTTCATTCTCCAGGAAAGACAAAAAATAAAACCCTGCCCCAATCCTAACTTTGGAGAGTTTCCCTTTTTGACAAGTTATATCTGAGTCTTAATGTGTAGCCCTGGCTGTCCTGGGACTTGTTACTTAGACCAGGGTGGCAAATATTAGCTGGTTGCTGTTGGCACACACCTTTAATCCCATCAAGATAGACGCACAGGCAGGTGGATCTCTGAATACAAGGCCAGCCTGGTCTACTACAAGTTTCAGAACAGCCAGCGCTACCCAGAGAAACCCTGTCTCCAAAACACCAACCAACCAACCAACCAACTGAACATAGGCAGCACAGGATTATAGTCCAGAAAGCCAGGGATCACATGTGCTCTGGAGTCTGAGAGCTGTCAGGACAATATACAATGTAGTGAGACATGTCCCCCGAAAGAAGCCTGGGCTTGGTGACTTGAAAGGCTGGCACAGGACTGCCAAGAATTTGAGACAATTTTGGGCTTCATAGTGATTTCCTACACATCTGGACTGGTATGGGAACCCTGTCTTCAAAAACAAAATAAAAGCCCCAAACCAAAAACCATATAGTATTGGTTATCAGAATGGAGTTAAGTAAGCAAACTTCAAGGATTGGGCAGATGGTTCAGTGGGCTAAAGAGCTTGCCACAGAAACCTGATGTTCTGAATTTACAGCCCCAGGATTCATGTAATAGTCACCCATGGTGGCACATGTATATAATCCCAGTACTCCTATGATAAGATGGCAGGGGGCCAGCTAGCCTG